TATATCCTTCTACTTTTAATGTTTGAGTTAGCTTTATCATTGATTCTCTTGGATTTTTCAGATACATTGTTATAGTTTATGAAATAGAGAGTTTTTCCACTTTGTTACCATTCTTATGCCGCTAGTTGATATCTCTTGTCTAACTGCATTAGCTAATATCTCTAAAATAATGATGTAAGTAGTAGCGATAGTGGGCATCCTTATCTGGTTCCTGATCTTAGTAGCAATGCGTCTAGTGTTTCCCCATTAAATAAGATAATGGCTTTAGTTCTACGGTAGAAAAACTTTATCATATTAAGTATCCCACAATTTCTATTTTCTTTACTATTTTAGTCATGAATAGGTATTGAAGCCACACTGTTACTCAAAAAACTAATATAGAAAGGGGGGAAAAATCAAGTATTTATCCTGCCTTTTTTATATAATCTATTCCTGAGAGTAATCAAGGTCCCTGTGCTACCAGGGTCTCAAGTGTTCTGGGGCCCACGGGTCAGGGGAAGGGCTTGACTGACCCTTTCCCCAGGAGCCTAATGACAAGAGTTCTGCCTTCCTCTCCACCCCTCAAAGGACTCCCAGCTCCTTGAGTTTTCCCCTCCCCAATGGAAACCCCAAACTTACATCATTCTCTGAGGTCCCACAGAGGATGCAGGATTTGCACTCTATGCATTGCCATTTGTAGGTCTTGACAGCCTCGGTCATGTTCAGGGTGAACTGCAGGCAGGTCGGGTGACCTAGAGGAAGCAGAAATGGCAGCATTAGGGCCAGTGGNAAACATCCCATTATTTTATGATTTATTATTATGAAATAATTTTAGTCTTAAAGAAAAGATGCAAAAATGGTGCAGAAAGTGTCTGTACACACTTGATTCAGCTTCCCCTAAATTAACATCTTACGTTACCACAGCACAACCATAAAAAACAGGAAATCACCATTAGCATGATACTATTGACTAATCTACAGACCTCATTTGAATTTCACCAGTTTTCCCACTTATGTGCCTTTTCCTGGGACACCCCCCCCCCAATTACCTTTAGTTGTCATGTTTTCTTAATGTCCCTGAATCTGTGACCGTTCCTCGGTTTCTCTGTCTTTCATGACCTTGGCACTTTTGAAGAGTTCAGGCCAGTGATTTTACAGAATGTCACTTAATTTGAGTTTGATCTATTCTAATGAGAAGATTGAAGGTATCCATTTTGGCAAGAAAACTACAAAAGAGGTGTTATATGCCTTTCTCAATGCAACACATCAGGGAGCATTGATACCAATAAATCTGATTACTACTAATGTTACTCTGATCATATAGTTAAGGTAGTGTCTGCCAGTTTCTCCACAGTAAAGTTATGATTTTTCCCTTTGTGATACATTCTTAAGTAATCTAGTAGAGGAACTACTTTGAGATTATGCAAATATTCTGTTTCTCACCACACTTTTGCCCACTAATTTTAGCATCAGTTAATGCTTCTTGCTTACAACAACCATAACTGTGATGTTTGCCTATTGGTGATTTCCGCTCTAAGAAAGAGTTTACCTTTTCCCATTTATTTATTTATTCAATTTTTTAAAATATCAGTATGGGTATTTATTTTGTTCCTTGGGTTATAATCCAACACTATCATTATTTACTTTGTTACTCAAATTGTGCCAGATTTGGCCATGAGGAGTTCCTTCAAGTGGTTTCTGGATCCTTTAGACTCGCTCTATCAATTTTTGAGCACTTCCTGGCTTTCAAGGGCCACAGGATGCTCCTCTTGGATTTTCCCAGCTCCAGACCTGGCATCAGCCATTTCTCCAAGGATCTCTGGTTCCTTTTATTGGAGAATGGTACAGTGGACTCTTGAACAACACGGGTTTAAACTGCATGGGTCCACTTACACATGGATTTTTTTCAGTAAGTACTGTAAATGTATTTTCCTTATGATTTTTAAAAATATTTTTTCTCTAGCTTACTTTATTGTAATAATACAGTATATAATACATATAATATACAATACATGTGTTAATAGACTGTTTATATTATTAGTAAGGCTTCCACTCAACAGTAGGCTATTAGTAGTTACGTTTTGGGGGAGACAAAAGTTATATGCAGATTTTCAATCTGCATGGGGGGTTGGTGCCCTTAACCCCTGCAATGTTCAAGGGTTAACTGTATTTAGAAACCAATATCTAGGTGCTATGGGGTCCTCATTGCTTCTGGGTTGTCATTGCTTCTAGGCACTCCCAGCCAACCATGTTAGGAAATAAATGTATGTG